ATCTCAGGCACTAAACAGGGCAACCTTTCTGTTACTCAATATGCCAACCTTTTGCAAAATCTATGGCAGGAACTGGACCAATATCGGTGTGTTCAGATGTTGTGTAGTGAAGATGCAGCCACCTTGAAAAACTTTATCGAAAAGGATAGAGTTTATGACTTCCTTGCAGGTCTGAATGTGGAATTTGATCAGGTCAGAGTCCAGATATTGGGGAAGAAAAGATTATCATCTCTGAATGAGACAATATCATTGGTTCGAGCTGAAGAGAATAGGCGAGAAGTCATGTTAGAGCCTAAAACATTAGAAGGCTCGGCAATGGTTTCTACAAAGTCAAATAAAGACACAATTTGGTGCACGTACTGCAAAAAATCACGCCATACACGAGATGATTGCTTCAAACTCCATGGGAAGGAACAAGTCCTTAGTCGTAAAGGAGGATTCAAAGGGGGAAAAGCCCACTTAATTGCTAGAGAAGACCAAACACAAGCAAAATCCAACCAGACTGGTATGGGAGAATTCAAGAAAGAAGAAATCGAAAAGCTAAGAAACCTCCTAAATTCCCTTGAAAAGTCCTCTAGTACGTGTTCATTGGCTCAATCAGGTAAGTACCTTAACTCTTATGCTTTAAGTGCCTCAAGCATGTCTTCTCTAGGCTCTTGGGTCATCGGCTCAGGAGCTACTGACCATATGACTCACAGCCCAATCAAATTTAGAACATACAATCCATGTCCTGGAAATAGAAAAATTACTGTTGCGGATGGATCTCCTATAACTGTTGTAGGCCAAGGGACAGTAAATCTATCAAATTCTTTGTCCCTAAATAATGTGTTGCATGTCCCAAAATTGTCCTCCAATCTCATATCCATCCATCAAATTACCAAAGATCTGAACTGTAGAGTAATTTTCTATACTACTCACTGTGTTTTTCAGGATTTGGTTACGGGGAGGACGATTGGACTTGCTAAGGTGAATGACGGACTTTATTACCTTGAGGAGATGAGTGGCAACAAGAAGAACAAAAATCAGTTATCCCTCACCTGCTCCTCAAATAATAAATCTGAAATTTGGCTTCATCATTTCCGTCTCGGTCATCCGTCTTTTATGCTACTTAAAAGCATGTTTCCTTCACTTTTCAAGAATGAAGATGTTAGTAGTTTCCATTGTGATACATGTGAAATTGCTAAACATCATAGACTATCATTTCCATTGAGTAATACAAGATCTACTAGACCTTTCTCTTTGATACATACTGATATTTGGGGGCCTTGTAGAATTTCTAGTATTTCTGCAGCAAAATGGTTTGTCACATTCATTGATGATTGTACTAGAACTACTTGGTTATTTCTTATGAAAGAAAAATCAGAAGTAAGCACTATTTTTCCAATGTTTCATAAAATGATTTGTACACAATTTGGAAGTTTGATTAAAAGAGTAAGATCTGATAATGCAAGAGACTATTTTAATCAAATTCTCTCATCTTTTTTCCAAAAAGAGGGTATAATACATGAGTCATCTTGTGTAGATACACCCCAACAAAATGGGATTGCTGAACGAAAAAATAGACATTTACTCAATGTGACTCGAGCAATTTTGTTTCAACATAAAGTTCCAAAAACTTTTTGGGGGAGGCTGTTTTAACTGCTGCACATTTGATAAATAGAGTACCTTCAAAAGTACTAAATAATCAAAGTCCCATTGCTGCTCTTTCTGGTTTTTACCCTGATTTTAATGTCTCTTGCACATTGTCACCAAAAGTGTTTGGTTGTGTTGCTTTTGTACATGTTCATGCACACCAAAGAGGGAAACTTGATCCAAGAGCTTTAAAATGTATTTTTGTGGGATACTCAAACACAAAGAAAGGATATAAGTGTTATCATCCTCCTTCAAAAAAAATTTTTACCTCTATGGATGTCACATTTGTTGAAAATGAACCTTACTCTCAAAGTAACAATCCTCATCCCCAGGGGGAGAGTTCTTGGGAAGATAAGGAATTTCTCCTTGATTTTCAAAGTCCTACACTAAACTTAAAGTCTTTCAAGCCGGACCATACACCAAATTCTAAAGGAGAACATACTAGCAGTGAACCTGAACCTGAATTTGAAGTTGAACATGCCAGTAAAGAAATTGAACCTGATCTTGGAGTTGAGGGAAAATCTGGTTTAAATCCAACTACACCACTCAAGGTCTACTCAAGGAAGAAAGTTCATATTTCTGAACCTGTGCAAATCCAAGAATCTGAACCACAATCAGGTACTGAAAATCCTGTTCCTTTGTATGTTCAATCTGACTCTGCTCCTTGTGAATTTAATGATTTAGACCTGCCTATTGCTGTTCGAAAAGGAACACGAGAATGCACTAAGCATCCAATCTCAAATTTCGTGTCTTTCCATAGATTCTCTCCACAATATAAAACCTTCCTTACCACCAACTCTATTTCAATTCCACAAACACTACAAGAGGCACTTAGAAATAAGAATTGGTTACATGCTATGAAAGAGGAGATGAATGCCCTAGAGAGAAATAAGACTTGGGAAATTGTAAACCTACCCAAAGGAAAGAAAACAGTGGGGTGTAAATGGGTGTTTACTTTGAAATATAGAGCTGATGGTTCATTAGAAAGGCATAAAGCTCGGTTGGTCGCAAAAGGATATACACAGACATATGGGATAGATTACCAAGAGACCTTTGCACCCGTTGCAAAAATGAATACTGTGCGTGTTCTTTTGTCTTTAGCCGCTAACTTTGGTTGGTGTTTACAGCAATTTGATGTGAAGAATGCATTCTTACATGGGGATTTAGAAGAAGAGGTGTACATGGAACCTCCACCGGGTTTTAATGAAATGTTTTTTGAAAAGAAAGTGTGCAGGTTAAAGAAAGCTTTATATGGATTAAAACAATCGCCAAGGGCTTGGTTCGGAAGATTTACTAAAGTGATGTTAGCAATGCAATACAAACAAAGTCAAGGAGATCATACTTTGTTCATAAAACATTCAAAAGGAGGTGTTACAGCTCTACTTGTATATGTAGATGACATCATCATCACCGGGAATGATCCAATTGAAAGAGAAACACTCAAAAAGTGCTTAGCAAAGGAGTTTGAAATTAAAGAACTAGGGAGGCTGAAGTATTTTTTAGGCATTGAGGTGGCATACTCAAGAAAGGGCATCTTTGTTTCCCAACAAAAGTATGTCTTAGACTTGCTTAAAGAAACAGGCAATCTTGGATGCAAGGCAGCAAGCACACCCATTGAGCCTAACTTGAGATTGAATGAAGGGAAGGATGATAGCACAGTAGATAAGGGAAGATATCAGCGGTTGGTTGGGAAACTGATATACTTGTCCCATACAAGGCCGGACATAGCATTTGCTGTAAGTGTAGTAAGCCAATTTATGCATGATCCAAGAGAGAAACACTTGCAGGCTGTCAATAGAATTCTATCCTACCTCAAAGGGACACCGGGTAGAGGAATTTTGTTCAAGAAAAATGAAGGATTGCTCATAGAGGCATATACTGATGCTGATTATGCAGGTTCTGTTGTAGATCGTAGATCAACTTCAGGATATTGTACATTTCTTGGTGGGAACCTAGTGACATGGAGGAGTAAGAAGCAATTGGTTGTTGCAAGATCAAGTGCTGAAGCAGAGTTTAGAGCTATGGCTCATGGAGTTTGTGAATTGCTATGGCTCAAAATAATACTTGATGATCTTAAAATCAAGAGTGAAGGGCCTATGAAACTCTATTGCGACAACAAGTCTGCCATCAACATTGCACACAATCCAGTGCAACATGATCGCACAAAGCACATCGAAGTTGATAGACATTTTATTAAAGAAAAGCTGGACAGTGGCATGATTTGCACTCCATATGTAGCATCAAATAATCAATTGGCAGATGTCTTAACTAAGGGAATGCCAACTTCCAACTTTGAAGACATTACATGCAAGATGGGAATGGAAAATATCTATTCACCATCTTGAGGGGGAGTGTTGAAAATCTAGAATATCTTTTTCTATGTATATCCCATGATTTCTGCTATATCCCATGATTTCTGCTCTATTTTAGGATAGAATAATTTACTCCTAATGTATTTTAGGATAGAATAAATTAGCTCCTAATTTTTAGGAAATTACAGATTTCATGGAATTGACAAAAGTCCAATTCCATTTGTATAAATGTTGTACAGAGTCTAGAACAAAAGATATGACAGAACAATTCAGTTTTCTTTTTTGTTCAGTTTTCCTTCCAAAATACCTGTTCTCAGAATGGAACTAACTTAATTTACAATCTAAAAATATTATGACTAAATATATTTAGTGTATATTTAAAGTGCAAATTATAGAACCACGTTGAATAAGAAGATCACTAAATATAGAATGGATAAGCCATCTCTATCAAATTAAGTGCGAGGAATCATATAATGACATGTACTTTTTCATTTGGTTATAGATTTTATATATCCAAAAAAGAAAATAATAAACTTGATGTATATAGTAGTTAAAACACATTAAATACTTAGTTAAGGAAGGGGAGGATTTTGCCACCAAATTACTACTAATTTGTTAGGTAGGCAAGCTAGCAGTCAAATGCTAATAGATTATTTCATCAAATGGAAGTGAGAATAGAGCAACTATAGAACCACTTCAATTTCTTTTGCAGGAAAGCTTGTACAGTAGTTCATGAATAACTAAACACCGTTAGTATTTTAAGGCAAATAGAGTTCAAAGCACAGGACATTGAAACTTGGTACCTCATCATATTTCTCCTTGGCGGATATTGTCTGCTCAGTTGCTAACTCAATAACACAATCCAAATTTTGTTGGCTTGATGATTTCTCCATCTCTAACACTGTGATCTGCAGAAAGAAATAAATTAACCGAAAAAAGTAGAAAGTCCATGTTCAATTTTGCAAGGAGCAAATCCAAAACTGCTCATGTGCAGAAGAGAAAGGAAAAGAAATGAAAAACCAAAAAGAAGAAAACCTTTTCTTGAAGTTGTTTGATTACAAGAATGGCTTCCGACTCACTCAACTTATCGCTAGCACATCCATGAGCTTTGCATGTCTTGTTCTCAGCAAAACTCTCCTTAAATTTCTCCTCCTGAGAGAGATCAGCCTCAACAAGCCTTCTTCTCAAGTAATCTTGCTGTATCTCACTCATGATTCTCTGGAAAGAGGAAAAGATAATAGTAATTAGCAAGAAATCATCATGATAACTTTATAGAAAAATCGATGGTAAACAGAAAATCAAACCTCAGTTTCAAATTTTATAAGCAAATCTTCATATTCTGCTTGAATTTCTTCCAGTTCACTGTTCTCCTGTAGCAAAATAGATAATTGCAAAAATTGGAACTAAAACTAATCACTACAAAAGCTTATGGCAAAGAACCAACACAGTGTAAAAACATGTAAAAGGTAACAACTATTGGCAAGCTCTTCTTTCTGGTTGGTAATTTCCTCCTGCTGGTGACGTGCAATAAAGCGAGTGGATTAGGAAATATAAAGTCTTCCTGCAAATCATTTTTGTTGTGTTCTTCTTCCTTGCAAGATTCAACTGCGCCAACTTCATCTAGTTCTTCAAAAGGTAGCAGCGGTCCCGAGAAACATTCTACTCTTCCAGGTTTCACCAAAGACTTCTCTTCATCTTTAGAGTTCAGCTAAATCATCAAAGAGCAGGTTACTTAGCAATCACCACAGCCAAAATGCAAAAAGCCGTACTAAAGTACATGTTTCACTTCAACTCTAAAGGGATTTATCTTTTACATCACACATTGGAAAATTGCAAGGATAGAATAGTGAAAACAAATGTAATTTGGACATGGTTCCATATCAACATGACTGTTGACCACATTATATCCTTAAATTTCATGCTTGGTCTAGATGTCACTCCTCATATAACATTATCGCAAATCTAAGAGAGCCAAACTATTCTGAGATGCTATGTTAAGTTTGTTTTCCAATCTACAAAAGCACCCTTGCTCAAACCCAAGCATGACACTGTAAATTTAGCTGGTAACCACCGCTACCTCCTAATATCCAATGATAAACACAGAAATGTTTTTCATGCAAAAGATTGCAGAGTTCTTACATGTCCGGGAACAGTCAAAGTCAGTGCATAAAAGTAAGCATCAGGCAAGAGTAAGAGCCTTAACGCATCACTAAGTTGTATTTTGAAAACACACACATAGCAAGAACATAGATAACACATAGCATTACAAAGAGAAACTAGTAATATTCATTGTTGCAATATTTATTACTTTTTCTTGGTTAGTGTACATAATTAACTAAATGGAATGAATTTGGGAGATTTTATATGTTTGTGATTAATTTGGTATAAATGTTGGAAAGCCAAAAGCAATTGTATGTGCAAATTGTAGAAAAAGCCTTAGACTAGTGATTTATGCAGTAACTAAAAACTATGTAGAGGAGTATATTCTGCTTGTTGGGCATGTGCATTGCACCAATAAGTTGATGTATGGCTGCTTTAATTTGCTGACACAACAATTTAAAATCAGTATGAATTTTGCCACTCTAGGTCACAGTTTGGTTTAGAATAGAGGCTAAGAAGTAATTTGGAAAACCTAGGTGTGGGCAGATTGAGCACCATAGGTTATACAATGACACGAACCCAAAAGTTTTGGCGCCCATATCAACTTATTTTAGCAATTACCACAGTTCATGATCCTATATTACCGCCAAGTTTTCATTTCTATCAGAATCAATGTACAATTAAGACATCTCAAGATCATTGAAACTACAGGTTCTTTTCATAAATACAGTCACTCCATTTGTGTCAAAAACTGAGATCATGAAAGGTCTCAACATGAAGCTACCTGTAGGATACTGGGTACCTATAACAGGTATATTACACATTTTGAACAACATTTTACAAAAACAAGATTACCCGGCGAGACCTTTAACTGGATCGTAAATAAAACTATTACCTCATAGGTAGTCTCCCTAGAGAGTTTCCCAGGGCACCAAGTCTCACGCCGCTTCTCCTGCATGATAGGACATAACCATGAATCAAATTCAAACACAAACAGAAGGATAACACTAATAAATATTAGAAAAAGGAAAATGGTTTCCACTTCTTTAGTTGGAGAGCAGCTCAAATGGAATCTAAAACTGATCTATAAGCTGAAGTCAAGCCCAACCTAAAGCCAATCTTGGAAATATGATAATAGAGTTTTTAAAAAAAGAAAAAGAAAAAAAGCTTTTATACCTAGCTGTAGCCTTAGGCCAAAAAAGATCATTTTGAATAACAAATCTTAAAGTATCACAGCAAACAGTCTAATCTCAAAATAAATTTAATCTGATTTCTATAACAACATAAAAGAATGAACCCTCCACTTTGATATATTCTTAAGGTATAAAACCAGCAAAAAGAATACATTAAAGAGTTTCTAACATTGATTATCATAGGACTGGGGAGTTAAAACTCAAGTAAGTGACAACTCTAATACACCATATCATCTAAAGGCTCAGCTATGGATACACCATATCGGGTTTGGGTGCCGGATATGGATACCTGTCTAGGTGTCAGATTCATTAATTTTCAAAAACTAAGATACAGTAACACCTCTAAAGACTTGGACATGGTTACACAGATATGTCCAGTATCCTCATATGTATAAACCAACTTAATTTTTTTTTGTTTCTTTCTCATATTTGAAAGTAAAGTGAAGATTTATATAGACTTCACAATTAGGATCAAAATCTAACTCATTCCTATTATCATTTTCTGTATGTTTTTTACAGCAAATGGAATTAACAATAATCAATACTCAAATCAATACCCACAAACAGGAGTATGAAAAGGTAACAGGCATTGTACCCCTAAACTGACATGGAAACAACACAAACTCAAATGACACACCTATTAAGTGTAAGAGTTTTATCTGTTCTGGTTTCTTAACTTGTAAGTTTATTAAGAAGAAATAAGAATGGTTACCGACTTCTCTAAACTACCTAAGAATACCATAGTACTAAATAAACTCTTAACTTAGCAACAGCATTTACTTTGGATCTCATTTTTAAAAACTTTTAACATTCAATTGTCATGTTTTAGAAGGATATATACATAAGAATAAATCTCAAGCATGTATTTTCTCTCTTTCAAAATGCTGATTCTTTTATTCATGTACCATTTTTCTGAAAACCAGGAAGGGCATCTTATTCTTACAATTTTCTTTTTAGAGAAAGCCACCTTGAAATGACGAGGGTTTTGGTAAAGGAGTAAAGGACCCTAACAAGTTTGAGCCATCAACAGCTGAATGATAAATACATAATAAAGCCAGGCTATTTAGACATCTTATTCTATCTAACTAAGCAAAACTTAAGCTAGTCTAGGCAAAGACAACAAATCATATTAAAAAACCAACCTTACAACCTTCATTTGCTAAGAAGTCTGCCAACAGATTATACCCCTGGGAACATGATTAAAAGAAAATTTCTGACCAATATCCAGCTGATTGCTTTCCTGCACTACCTTTACCTTCATGTCCAGCAGCTAAAACTTTAGTAATAAATTTCCTACTGAAATAAATTGTCTTTTTAATCTAATTACTAATGCATTTAGCAGTAGCACAGAAAAACAGACCCGATACCTACATGCCGCATCATTTACTACTTTCAAAGTATATCACCAGCATACTACTTTAAAGTATATCCGCTTGAACAAATTCAAACCTCATCCCATGTCTACAACCAATGCTATAAAAAAAAAAAAAAAAGTAGAATAAACACTATATGTTATGAAACAGATGAATCCCTTCATGTCTTGCTGAGAAGTTTAAACAAATTTTAGTAGTTATATACACCAAAGAGGTATCGTAAGATGTTTCTTTATACATGTAACTATTCTCTGCAGTGTTTCAGGAGAAAAGGAAGAAGAACATGAAAGTTTTTTATAATTCAATTCACAAGAGCAATTCTGATGTACAAAATTCTCCCCTTTAATTTTAAGGATATACAGAAAAAATTACAAAGACTAGATTCAATAGAATTAAATTTAGGAAAATAGAGTCAAGCACTTCAAATCGTTTTAGCTTTCAAAATACATACTACTGTGAAAATTTGACATGGAAAAAAGGAAATGCCAACTGAATCAAAAACCTTCTTGTAGATGTCATGATTCTCATTCTTATTAGAGCACAAAACCATAGAACTCAAATTCTCAATTTTCTTGGCTTGTTCCTGCAATCTTCTCTCACGCTCAGCCTGAGCTTTCTTTTCCTCCTCCAACTCTAGAGCCATTCTTTCCCTCTCAAGCTCAGCCTACATAGAAAACTCAGATTAACAACTATGAAATATTTGTTTAAGGTGATAGATGGTGCAATAAATTATGAAAAAACCTTCAATAAAGCATTGCGTAGACTGAGAATCTCCTCTTCAAGATGCTCTGAATGGGAATCCTTGAGCACAGATAAATTTAGAAATTAATAAAAACTTTCAAAGTATTGTCAACATGAAGTCATGGACTTTATTATGTCCTAATGTAAAAATATGCACCAGCAATTTGGCCCGAAGCTCTTCTATCTCCTTCTTTTGACGTTTTAGCAAAGCAGCATCAGTCAGTATCTATCAATCAATATGTGAAATAGGTTAACACGTGCATCAAAATTAATCAGTGAAGGGAAAACAGAGAAACAAATTGAAGCAATTCAAGGGACACTCATAAGATAATAACGAGAGGTACACAAAGGATGTAATACTAAAATCACAAGGAAACCAAAAACAGACCTCATTCACATGAACACAGTTTGTTACATGTAATGCTCTACTAGCGAATTGAAGACTACTTTTAGTCTCATCAGCATGAGTCTGCAATCCAATAAAGAGCAGTTATGGATGGAAAGAACATTTTGCCGAGTAACAAGAATGTGATAAGCACACCGTGCAACAGATACCAAAAATAGATTGGATTTTTGCCACCACAAACTGGGTGTAAAATTAATCCAAACAGCAGAATTAACTCATCACTTAAGATTTTGATATGCACAAGAAGGATTTAATTAATAAGAGATCAAAATCAAAGTAGAAAATAAATCTGTTATACCATACTTCAAATTTTCAAAATACAGTAACTATAAGATGATTTTTCTAAGGAATAAATAGCAAAATCTGTTTGTGTTTACTTCAGAAGTAGTTTAAGTTAGTGGAAATCATTATGAGAATTTCACACTAAGAAATTTGTTGACAGATCACCAGATTTGTATGAGAATGGATAAAATACTCTTTGCAGTGTATTAATACTGTAGTGATAATCCAGATACAATCAGATGACCAGTGTACTATAATAGTCATCAGCAATCATATTTCAGATTAGATGATGAAGGAAGCATATATATTGTAACTCTACATCTTAATGATATGGGTACCTGTTCTTTTAATTGAATAAGACGGTTATATCATTTACTTTAGGAAAGTAGTAATTTAATTAACAAGACATTTGAGGCATACACAGGGGACAGTTAACTAAGTTGTCTGTAGTTAAGAATGTTAAGTCCTAATAGTAAACCTTTAACTGGAATCCTACAGTCAAAATCAAGAACTTCCATCATTTCAAATCATAATTTTTAGTCAAACAAGTTATTCTTGCAGCCAGTATTATACCTGCCACCTAATACGTAATAATACAACAAATCAATTTCTCACTAGGATTTAGTTGAAGTATGTGTAGCTTTCGCCAGCAAAATCCCTGTAGGAGGCCTTTTTTCATAATAGCTACTTGAACAATAAAGTCTTCTCCCAAAAAAAGAATTCTTCAAGGCTTGGCCACAACTAAACGATTAGGAGTACAAAAAGCATGTGCATCAAACATGTCACTGCCACCAAGAAACTTAGGACCAAAGAGTTGAATAACAAGGAATGATTCAAATGATTATGCGACAAACAGAGCCGTAGGGATTCATAATTAGATACAAAAAAAAAAAGCCATGCTACCCACAACACTATGAAGAGAGAGAGAGAGAGAGAGACGAGAATTTTGTAATAAAAATGATGGACAAGTTGTCTTATGAATATTGAGATTTCCAGAATAATGTAAATAAACCACTGATATCATTGGCCTATTGGGACATTATAAACAATTTGCAGTAGTCATGCCAAAGTCACCACCTGTGCAAGTGTAATATTGCATATGATGGCAGTATTGGCATTTCCACCCAGTGCAGGCTGTAGAATACGTGTGAGCTTGCTATCTCGATAGGGAACATGGCCACTGCAATTCAAGATATGCATCACAAACTCTGGGGAATTTATAAACGATAACTTTAGAACAGTTCCAAGCCTACCCTTGGCTCTCAACACCTTCACTCAGTTTCTTTATCACAGTTCCTAATGTCATCAGGCTTTTGTTGATGTGAGAGCCCTCTTTAAGACGAACTCCTTCTGCTCCAGTCTTTGCAGCACGTTCTGAACCAGCCAAGTCCACCAAGTTCTAAAAGGAACTCTCACATGGAAAAAGATAGTTAAAAAGAGAACTAAGAAAATTTGCACAAAATTTTTATATGCAGTTTAGGTTGGCAGAATTGTAATAGCAAAAACAATATTAATTCTTCCATGTATAATACCAGAACAGATACACGGACAGCATCGCATGTATTGTCTGAATCTGCATCTTCATTTTTCTCCCTACTCTCGATTATCTAAAGCAGCAGCAACTTAGTAAAAATCAATGGAAATACTCAAGTACCAAAAGATTTAAATGAGAAGCAGGCCCACCATGCGGAATATTGTATGTGATCTACTGCTGTACACATTCATATTTGTCTCTCCAATATGACGATGAGCTGTAAAAGAGGAACAACAAACAAATTGTTGGCTGCAGATTGACTATTTCAATAACAAGACAGACCATTTCTTCCTCCCTCCCCCCCGCTCCAAGGGCTCCCAGCCCTTCTCCTTCCTCTTACAAAGAGGAAAAGAAAGAACAACCAAGTGACAATAACTAATTGCAACATAACAGCTTCTGAACTGCATAAAAAATTTGTATGCACATCTTAAAATTGAACCCTTGATGAAATTCTTTTCAGTGTTGGAACTTTTCACACTACATGAAGCAACATTTTGAAAAGAATACATATTTATGCCACATAGAAAACAGATATAGCTATATATCAGAAATGGTTTCTTTTTCTTCTTTTTTAGTTCGGGTGCCCAAAAGTCAACTTCTAATTACTCAAAGGAAGAAAATGAAAGAATACAAGAAATGTTGTGGTGAGAAACGAAGGGCAATTACATCGAGTAAATTTGGAACTTACATTCGCCAAACTCCATAAGCCCCAAAACTTGCTCAGTGGAGGCCACAATTTCTTCTCTTAAACCAGCAACAAATATTCCCCTCTTGATTTGAGGGATGAGTGAATAGTTTATAAGGATCACATATAAGGTAAATGGTCATCAGACATAATTGAGTACCTCAATGCTTTCATGTATTTGCAGTTTTCGGTGCTCAGGAGCTAAGAGATCATTGATTTCCTCATTGTAGATCTCCATATATGACATCCGTAAAAGAAATTCTCGATCCACTTCCTGGAAGTAAAATTTTAGACAAAATATCCAAGGTTTCTCAATATGTAAAACCAGGACCTTACTATTCATCTTGCAGATCTAGTAGATTATACATTAATAAGCATGTTGAAGAAAACAATATACTAGCTGAACCAAATAACAAATGATTATGCTATGGTGAGTTGTCTGAACCATAAAGTCACAATAGCAGTGGTGATTTATTAATTTGCAAGAATTTGATGTCGCTAAATATTTTTCAACACATTGTACTATATGGGAATAAAAGACTTAAAGAAGAAAATTTTCTATTATCAAATTAAGTGCTTTCAAATCTTTAATATAATCCCTCAACAGTTTAAAATACATGAAACATGGGTGTCATGCACATGCTTAATTTGAAAGCCAGCTGCATGATTGCATAACTAAAGCTATAAAGCTCATTCTCAAACTATTTGATTGAAAAAAAAATTAACTAAACCTCACATAGTCTTGCTTGGTCCATGTAAGCTAATAAGTTGTTGAAGCTTAACAATAGATCAAGCTCATCACGGTCAAACACTTGAAGTGTTTCTGACTTTGAATGGTCGAAAAGATCAAACAAGTTTATACCCATGTCCCGCTATCAACATCTTATTATATGTTGTAAACACTTATTTGCTGCCTTATTAACAATGATTTACAATCTATGGTTGCAAAAACTGCTTCAGCAGTTAAACCCCCTCCATAGGTCCACCATGCTTCAAGAAGGAAAAAGGACAACTGTAGGTTGGAATGATAACTTTTCATACTGGATATAGATTTAAAGCCATGCTAAAATGCAGTGAGCACAAAGAACGTTATTTGCATACTTAGTGACAATACGTGATGCTTATATAGCAATCAGACATTGTCATCCGAATATGCTTATATAGCAATCAAAGGTTGGCATGAAAACTTTTTCAAACTGGATATAGGTTTAAAGCCATGCTAAAATGCAGTGAGCATAAAGTCATTGTTCGCGTAATGACAATACATGATGCTGATATAGCAATCAAACATTATCATCCAAATATGAGATTTGTTAAAAGTAGACATAAATTCATCTGAGAGCACAGCCCTAAAACATGTAGCCTTACTACAGTAATTGCAAAGGAACATCAAACCCAGGGACTCCCAATTCACAACCTAAGTCTTCATTGCATCAAAGATCTCAGGTTGTAACTCTTTTCTTGAGATGGTGCAGGGCCTTGTTTGGCAAGCAAGTTTTTGGCCAAACTTGTTTGCTACAAGTTTTTTAACAACTTTAGCTACAGTAACCTCAAAATATTTCTCAAAATTTTTAAACTATACACCTCAAAAATTCCAAAAATTTACACGCTTCAAAAAATTTTTCTACAAATTCTACAGTAAGTTACAGTAAAATTTTAGACAAACACTCAAAAAACTCACTTGTCAAACGGGGCTCTTATTGTAGATGGGTAGAATTGTTACTTTGTAGGCACATCCTTGGTTGATTTTCAAATAATTTACATAACATACGATATATTTACATAATTCTGCTAAGAAGTGACCACAGTTTGTGACTTATTATTGATGTACTCATAGCCTATACCTATGTTTGCATAAATTGAATTCCAGGGCACAGTCTTCACAATTACATAACACTCCTAGTTATGTACAAAAGTAAAATTTCAAAGCTAAGAAGTAAATCTTGCTCCTCCATCCCATTATGCATCAGATTGCTACGCCTAGCTGACAATGAACTGCAAAATTGAGTCAAAGCTATGCACAGTTTGGTATATTCTATCAGGAGATAACAAAGTAAGAATTGCTAGAGATTCCTATGCCAGAGAGGAACTTCTCACACTCTTCAGGAAAAAAAAAAAAAAAAGATTCTTAGGAACTCATTATATTAAATGTTTGCCAGTTAGACTAAGCTTTTGTAGTATTAACAAAGAGAAAATGACAGCTTAGGTCCATTATCCTTGTATCAGGTTGCACTTTAGTCCCTTATTTATTTCATTAGACAGATTTGATCCCTTATCTTCATACCCAATTGTAACTTTAGTCCCTTAATATTCCAGTGGACATATTTTGGCCCCTTATCTTCATGTAACTACTTGCAACTTTGGTCCCTTATCTTCCAGTAAAAAAATTTAGTGCTGCCTCCTCTCCAATTCGTCCCAAAGGACAGCTAACCATATGCCTGTAATAATTGACACCTTAGGAACTCTTCAAAGTGCCCCCATAGAAACTTATCCAGGCACTCTAAAGCAAAGAAAGAAAATTAGCGGAAATTATGGCAGATAGCTATGAAATAATTTCATTCGAAGATTTCAACTAGTATGTAATATCTTGACCTAAATCTATTTTGATTTTAGTGGATTTATAACAGAATCGGAGCAATCTTAATCTTATTTTATCTTAATTTTTCTTAAAATAGGAGTCTACAGGTGTGACAGCTAATTTACTAAAGCCTTTTAAAATGCCTTTATACATATTTACTAAGGGACCAAAAATGTCCCCTGAAATAGACAACTGACTAAAGTTGAATTAGAGTATGAAGATAAAGACTAAATGTGTTCACAAGAATAGATGAGGAACTTAAGGGGAACTAGCTGTACGTATAAGGAATCAAAACTGTCATTTTCCAATCAGCATTTATGCTGTCTAATTTTGTAGCAATAATAGTTGTTAGTTGCCCATGGGTTCCCCTAAGGCTACAGCACATAGGGATATGCACTCTAGGTTGTATTAATGGTGCATACACAATCTGAATTCATAGCCTGTTGTAATTCCTGTATGTAAAGCAACCATGTAATAAAATCACTATAACGTTCAATATAACAATACCCTAAGCATAAATGTAGATTAAAAAGAAAACCAAGTCAAAAATCTCCACTACAGCACAGTGCAAGGTTCAAATAGCTTGGGTTACAGCACACTATCAGTTGTTGTGATAGTAATAGGAGGCAAAATGAGCAGAAGAAATTAAGACTTCATACATAGCTGGAAGAAATGACAGCTACCTCATGTATAGTTTTGAACAAATCATACACAGCAAGAGGAATGACTCCAGGCTCGGAAGCTGACCCGCGCATCGTATGGGTTTTACCACTGCTTGTTTGTCCATATGCAAAAACAGTCCCTAAACAGAACAATTTGAAACATGTTCTTAAGCTTGAGCCACGGAAAAAGTATGGAAACCAAAATTCTAATTCCTTCACACACTTAAATCAGCATTGAGTACATGTCATAAAAGCAAGAATTGACACATTTCCTTGATACAATCCAATTACCATTAAACCCACGAACTGCAGCAGCGACCAAGTCCTTAGTTCGAGCGAGATAAACCTCCGCAGTTTTGCATTTCTCCTCAAAAACTCGATCTAAACCCAAAACCAAGAAAATCTCAAACTCCAAATAAAAGAAGACTTCCAAATAACTCAATTGCAGACAAACATGAGAAAGGAGACTACCAAATTCGAACTTGCAGGAAGTCTGATTAGGCAAAAATATCGAATTTCCCGAAATTCGCCATGGGCTGTTCTTGGCATCCTCTGGAGATAACGGTCTTGCCCTCACGGATACATGAATTCTCTCCATGATTATGCCTGTCCGACCAAAGAGTCGGAGAAACCGATTGGTTAGGCTGGATCGTTAGGGTTTCGACACCGGCGGGAAGGGGAAATGATTTGCGGAAGTATTTAAATATTTTATTTTCCCGCCTGGTGGAGTTGCCTTTCGGGGTAAGTGAGACAAATTACAAACGCCGCCTACTGCTGCTGTCGTTTAAGTTGTAACTGTTTGCTGAGGGCTTTAATGCCCAAAATGTCGAGCTACATTTGTTAAGTTGTGATTGTTGTCAAGGACTTTGTGTGAGAACCGAAAATTTTTTTAACGGGTTTATTTAATTATTTATTTATTTCAATTAATTTATTTTATTCATTTTAATTACATCTGTATGGTACATTGTCTCATTTTATATTTTTAACACGCTTGCTCTTAAACTTAATTTTTTTATCACCCAATTAGTGAAAATTAGATAAACACATTTTTTGAGATAATATTTAGTCTGAGAGTGCAGTAGTTTTGGAGAATTAAGGATGATCAACTGTAGACTAAGAAAAGTTAATTGAGCGATTAGAGGTGAGTGATTTGAATTAAACTCAATTAGGAGCATTAACGGACAACTATTCAATTGTTGATTTTTGCACCCTCAAAAGTAGCTTTATGTCACTTATTTCTTTCATCAAATCACTTCACAAAAATCACACAAAACCCTCTCTCTTCTTCTCCCTCTTGGCCGAAACCCTTCTTCCCCCCTTTAGCCAAAAATTTCATTCTCATCCTCTCCAATTTGCTCACTAAACTTGCTCTAACCTTACTCACACTTTGGGTCATCTTCAAGTTTGGTAGAAGACTTGGAGGAGGGAAGATTTTTGGAGGTTTAGTGCTTGGTTTCTTGAGGTTTTGCTTGCTATCCTTGGAAGAAGATAAACCCTCCAAACTCCCATTTTTCTTTCATCTTTTAGTTAGTTTTTACCTAGATAAACTTTGGGTTGTTGATGGGTTCCATGAACCTTTACATTAGGTAGCATGTCTTGAGGATATTCTTGCTTTCTTGACTTACTCTTAGGAAGATACCGTGAGGAAGATTATTAGGTAGTGGCCTTGAGGATTTCTTGGCTGTTGGTTGTTGTTTTAGTAAATTCTAACTTGGTTTTGGTTTGAGAGTTTGAGGAAAAATTTGGAGAGAAAGAAACTAGGGCTGCTGTCCGAAATTTTGAGGGAGTGATTCTCTTGTTTTAATTTCGAAATTTGCAGTTAAATTGACGCAAAAATGCTTGCTACATGTTGGGTTATGTGTGTGTAAATTATCTTCCAAAAATCACTTCATTTGAATGAGTTAAAGTTAAGTTTAAAGGAGGGAAACAAACCTGGAAATTTCTGATCAGGGCACCCGACTAGTGTGCACTAAACAGCACGTAATTTTTTGTATAGGAGTCAAAATCAAGTGACGTTTATGGCATGTGAAACTAGACTCCGAAGGCTTTCTAACGGTATAAAATACACCTGCTAGTTCATTTTCTATGAGTTGTAGTGAACCGGCAAAATTGGCTGTTTTCTCTTACTGTTTTAATCGTGAGACAAGCACAGCTGCAGTTTGTAACTCAATTTCACTCCCCTTACAAAATGAATTTGAAGATAGTTTCTTCTAGTGATTTTTAGTATTTTGAATCTAGTTTTCAACGCCGTAAACCATGCTAAATTTGGACTTGTGTAGCCTTAGATATGACCTAGTTTAGAAACTGCATCGGGTGTTCCAAAGTTGGAAGTTCGTGTTTCAGATTTCAAAAACCAGATTTCAAAAAACTATTGTATATTGATGTAGAAAAATTCAAATTGAATTCCGTTTATTGTGTTTGAAACTAAATTTGGAGTTCTTTCAGTAGTACAAATTTCAGAGGCTAGTTCGATTTCTATGAATTTTTCTAAATTTTCAAATTTCACTGAAATTCAAGACTGTTTTGCTCTGTTTTTACTAAAGCAGTGATTTAGAGCTAAGATTAGACTGATTTTTTATTTGAATCTGGAAAACATGTCTTCTAGAGAGTTTTATTCATTGAGTCTATTTTCCAAAGGTATAAGATTTGCAATTTTTAGACTTATGGAACTCAAATTATGATTTTTCAAAAAACATTGCCAAAACTGAAATTTTTCTTATGAAGTGACAAAAACTCCAAAGTGGTTTGAAAACATTTTCTAGGTTTCAAGCCTAACCTTCTTGATTATTTGCACCTCATTTCATACTTGGGAGATGAATTTCACCTCCTAATCTTATACCTTTGGTTTCCATGAAAATGAACCATAAATTGAGCGGTTTAGCTAGAGTAATTCTTGAAAAATTTCACTAGCTTCATATTTGAAACTTGGAGCTTTTAACTCCAATAGTTACCATGAATTAAGTAGCGTTTTGATGGATTTTGACTTCATAAATTTAGAAAATGTAAATGCTCATTTATATTTTAAAACTTGGGCATAGGATTAGAAGTTTTAAAATATGAAAATAATTTTTTCTTTTCTCGATTTTCGTGTCAAAAATTAAGCGTGGTACTCCTCTTTTGAAATCGAAATTTCTTACTACGACTTAATTCAAAAATGATTTTTGAGTCCTCTTTGAGTATTATTTCGGTGATTAAGCAAGAAAGTCTCTTTTTATTCGATTTGAGCTTGTGGCTCTTGAGTGTAGGTAGTAAGGGGATATTTTTCTCTTAACCTTGGTCGAATACCTAGGTAATCGTGATTATGCATGTCTCAGATGATCATGTGGACACTGAGGAACTCGTTTGACCTCTTGCTTTTGCTCTCGCTTTGCTCTTGACTTTTATTGAGTGTCAAATACATGTTTCATGTTGCTATGCTTGAAATGATACTTGTACAAGTGTTATGTGATTCTTGTAATTTGTGAACTTGTCGAAACAAGGGTGTACTTTATCGTTTTCACCCTCTCCCTCTTGAATAATTGCTACTTGTTACATGAATTTTTGTGACTTGCACTTGTACTCGAACATGTTTTTAACTCATGAGCACCGAGCGGTAGCATGTACCACACCATATTTGGGTCGGAGGTGCCTCTTATCTCGACTCAGTGCTATGATCGATTTTAAGTTGATTAGAGCGTTCTCTCATCGACCAATTGTATTTATGGGGATGCCCCAACCCATTGGCTAATCTCGTAACTCGAACCGACAAGGGACATGATCGAGAAACTTGGTGAACCATGGGAAAATTATATAGTTTGATCTTTTGAAATATTGCTTGGCATACTCGAATAGTACTGTCACCTCGTACTTGTTTGGTTCTGGATCTGAGAGGGTGATATGGTGGATGGAGGAAGTAAGTGGAGCTCTACAGACATGTTGCTACTTGAGTTGACAGAAGGTCAACCAAAGATAGTTTGAACCGGTCGAGACATGGGATTAGCTCCTGAGAGTTCTTGTATTCTTTCTACTTCTGTTTACTTTCTACTTGCATACTTGTATGAAATTTATGTTAAGTCATTTTTAAGTATGTTATTTGATTTAATTTGTGTTATTTGCTTGCTTGCCTGATTTTCTTGACCTCATTGAGCATTAACTCATCCTAAGTTGTTATTCCCTAACAGGTTTTGGAAGTGAAAGTTGGGAACTCTAGACTAGCGATTTTTGGTTGAAACTAGTAAATCTTTGTATGATATTGGAGATATTTAAAGTGTAAACTTTGTTATATTTGGGTTATTGGATTGTAATTGTAAATGGTAGTTTTAGAAGAATTTGGCTTATATATTCGAAGTATTCCTTTAATTCTAAATCTATGGTTAACTTGTGATTTTCTATCAAGTTAGAATGAGTGTGCGAGTCCTAATGAGAGTTGGACAGACGTCCCATTGATACCCTAGGATTTGCCCTAGTAATAGGTGGGGGCATCACACTTTAACGTCCTTGATTTGGATTGGCGAAGGGCAAATTTGGTTTCAAGAAAATTAAGGGCTTGTTTGGATTACATTTTTCTAGATTTTTTTGTCGAAAAATTACTGTAACGATTTGATATATGTAAAATAAAAGGTGATTAAAAAATATGTTCACGAAAAATGTAATAATTTTTCTTTGAAAATTTACTGTCCAAACAAGGTCTAGAATTTAAAGATCAGCTTTGGCCAGAAGGGGGAAGATCCAGGCAAATCTAGTCATGACTAGAAAGGGGAAGGGGGAGTCTGGTAGGAAAAGGGAAAGAAGAAAGAAAGAGGGGAGGAGAGGATGAGAAAAAGTAGGAGGAAGGAAGGAGAGAGCAGGGGGAGAATGAGAAGAGGAGAGGAGAGAGAGGAAGGACAGTAGTAGTGATGTTATCGGAGGAGGGAGGGGGAGAGGGGTAGTGATGAAGGTGTGTTGTGGTGGGTGGTACGTGGTACATGAAAGAAGAAAAGGTGATAGGATTTATTTTTTATTTTTTGTTTGTATTTTTGTAAGTTGTATTTTAAATTTTACCGATTAGATGTTTTTAGAATATGTTAGTGTAGTATTGTATTTGAAAAACTTATCTATGAAAACACCCTAATCCAAGCACGCCCTAAAGTCTAAGTCTTAACTTACAAATATAGCAGTCATTATCGTGAGGGTTAAATGCACTAAAACTCATATGAACTCAACTCTGTGCCCAATTGAAATTGACCGTCTAAACTTCCTAAATAGACACTCAACTCTAATTTTTTAGTTTTTGAAAAAAGTGCTCTTTCCATTTTTTTTCTTTTCTCTTTTTTTTTCTATTTTTCTTGTTTCATCTTTTTTCTCCTTCTATCATGCCACTATTTTCTTTCCTTCCCTATTATTATTACTAATTGTATACTTATAATGTTTTATCTTCTTCTACTTATAAATTATTCTTGCTGTAATTTGTTTGGTTGTGTATTTATACTACTAGTAATTCATGACAAGTTACATGGCATAAGAAAATGCTATATTCTTATCGCAACTAAAAGCATATATATCCTCGCAACTTAATTACCTAAACAAATATAAACAAACTAGAATATATGAATACTTAATATTTAAAAGTAAATACCAAATGAGCAAAACAGCTAGTATTTTTGTTCACTCTTTTTTTTAAACTATGTGTATAGTTGGAACATGTTAATGGAACTCTCATTTTTGTTAATAGAGTTCTTGTAGATCTTTTTACCATGCAAATTAAACAAAAACTCCT